GCAGCAGCGTCTTCAGCACCATCATCAATCAGGCTCCCTTCGCCATCGATGACCTGATGAAGGAGGTGAGGGCGTCTGAGGACTCGGACTCGGGACAGGCGTCTGAAGGGGACGAGGAGGAGGAAGGAGATGAAAAGACGATGAAGATGGAAGCAGGGAGGAAGCAGCTTAATGGTAAGTGAGCGGAGGAGAAACAGGAAGTGCAGACGTGCGTTTGGTGCTGGTCTTTGTTAAGCAGGTGACGGGTGTGCTTACCTGTGTCCGTGACTCCACCCTCGCTGCTCTCAGGTGCTGATCCCTGGTAACTCTGCTCCGCGGTACCTTCATGATTTCTAACGTGCCACTCTTCGGCGTCAGCTGATTGAAGGCAGCGCGAGACTTTCTTCCGATTTTATAGAAACGTGTTAAAATAACATAAACGAAGCCCGAGGCAGTGACGCCGTCTCCACACGAGGAGGCGGTCGAACGAGGGCGCCGCTGCACGAGAACACGTTAGCTGTGATAAGGAACGTGGCGAGGAGGAGGCTGCGGTCTCTGTCTGAGCTCAACTCTTCTAAAGATGGTCCTTTTTATTCTTCCAGGAAACAAAACCAACGAGGAAGCTGATGATGACGATGATGAGTTTGTTCACTTGGAGAACCTGGACTCGGACTCACTGCGTGATGAAGACGTTGGGCCGGTGCTGCAGGTGAAGGCCGGCGCTGGTTTTGCAGGAACTTTAAAACCTGAAAGTATTGACATGTGATGTTAGCGACACATGAGTCTGATTAGCTGAGATTTTACTTCCTGTCTGACCCCCCCCCCTCCCCGGAGTAGTTCGATTACTCTGCACTGGCGGACAAACTGTTGGAGGCTTCCGGTCGGAGCGGCGTGCCAGCAGCCAACAGAGAGCGACTCTACAAGATCATAAAGACGTGAGTAGCGCCTCTGCCGGCTCCGTCGGTTGTTCTGGGCGGAGCCTGCAGGGTTGAATGTTTGTAGAAAGCTGCAGGCTTTCTTCTTCGTTGGTGTCCTCTGGTCAGTCTCACAGTAACTGTGTTCTTCTTCTCTGCCTGCTTTGGTGGTGCTGACCCTCAGACTGCGGGACCTGAGTGAAGGTACAAACCTCCATCACTGCTCCTCCACCTTTCTTCACACGTCCAAACACACAGTTAGATTCTGACCTTTGACCCCAATCTGCTCCTCCTGTCAGGCGTCTTTCCTCAGGACGAGTACCCGGAGGAGGTCTCCACGGACGAGGACGACGACATGTTCGGCAGCAGGAAGAGGATGAAAAAGAGAAGACGTCACCTGGAGGAGGAGGAGCCGGCAGCAAAGAAAGGTGAGAGCAGGAAGTGTGGCTTCCAGCAGGGGGCGCCGGTGCTGGTGAAGGAAGCATTGATGACCCGGCTTTTCACTCGTTATCATCACGGTGCTGACGATTTACAAGGAAGTGATGCAATGTTTTGTTTATGTACATCCTGCAAGTACTGTGTTGCAGTATTACCTGCTCACCTGTCCTCAGGTGAGCAGCCGCAGAGTCAGAGCTCGTTTAGACTGCACCAGTAAAACCAGCTGAGATTTAAAAACACGTGAAAACTGTTTGATTTTTGCTTCGGTTTGATGAAGGATTTCTTTGCTGCAGGTGGTCAGCTGACCTCGGCCTCACAGGTGCACATGTTTCCTGCCGCTGCTTCAGCTGAGCAGGCAGGTTTCAGTCGCTTCACTTCAGGTTTCACACAACGTCCACCGGGCTGGCTCTGGTCCCCGGACCACATGTTGGACACCTGTGTATGACGGTCCCTCAGAGGCGGAGTTTGATCTAAGAGCAGAGATGATTTCAGTGCTGAACCTGAGCCAACAAGCCAATCAGGGGACAGTAAAATAAATGTTCCTGTCTAGGGATGGGTATCGTTTAGGTTTTATCCAATACCGGTGCCAAACCGGTACTTTTGAAACGATGCCGGTGCTTAGACGGTGCTCAAAGAATGGAGAACACAAACTTTGTCCAAAAACCTCTCATGTTTAACTGTTTTCCACTTTTTCTTTGGTCATTTTAGCCTTTTTGGCCAGGGTGAAGGGAGTATCTGCCATCAAACAAGAAGACAGCCGCATGTAGCTACGACGGTGTTTACTAGTTCACCTTACATGCATTAATGTAATAACGTGGTTAGCCTACTCAACGTAAATTAACGCCTACTCACGCAGAGAAGAACGGCTGCTGCTGCATCATCATCCTCATCATTCCTGCTACACTGGCAGGGCTAGGGGCCAGGACTCTCCTCTTCGGGTTTTTGGGGGATGTTGCTAACTCCGGTCCGATAACAGGCACCACACCCGCAGTAGATGTGCTCGGTGTGAGGTCTCGCAGCAAGCTATCAAATACGGCGCATTTCTCGGCTTTAAAAAAAAACGCTATGCGTCGCCAGGTGTTTCATCAGATTCGAGGTGTTACCTCCTTTGACAGTATCACAGTATCAGCTTAAAGCACTTGTTGCTGCTGAGTTTGCATCTTTTGCTG